TTTAACACGGTGTGATTTGTTTTGGCCCGGTCTGTTCTCTACTCTGTTGGCCATTTTAGTTAGCTTCTGCTGCTATTTGTATATGTATTTCTATTTTATGTTTTCCTGTCTGCTGTGCATGTTTGTGTTCTTTTGTACAGCACTTTGGTTGGCCTTGTTGCTGTTTTAAGTGCTATATAAATAAATTGGTATGGTATGGTATGGTATGATCAGCAGAGTGACAGACATGAGTTTTACTTACTGTCTTCTTCAGTGGAATGAGTTCCTTCAGAAATGTAGATTTCCAACTAAAGAAAGGAGAAAATGAAATAAAATGTTTAAAATGCTCAGGTTTGTTATTTACTCTACTGACTTTGTGAGAAATTCAACTAAAACTAAAGACAAACTCCAAGGCTTGAAATCAGCCCCAGCTGTAACGTTGATTGGGCTGTTTGTGAACTACCCAGAGAAGAAATGAAGACAGTACAACGGACTGGGTCACATTAGAGTCAGTGAACAGTGAACACACCACCGCCAGTCTGGACTGGACTCTGCTCCATGAACAACCACCAGTAAGTAAGTAAAACTTTATTTCTAAAGCACCTTTCAGCAACATGGATCACAAAATGCTTCACAAGGGCAAGACAATTAAAACAAAAACAAACAAAAAAATAATAATTTAAGCAAAAGCCTGTCTGAATAAAAATGTCTTTAGTTGTTTCTTAAAGGGATCCATGATAAGTTGCAACAATAGACTTTATTTGAGAAATATTTATTTTAGATGTAAAAACAATACAGTAAAAATATTGTAGGCTGTTTAGTTTTTTCATAAATTTAAATAAAATATTGTCACACGGATGTTGCCATGTTTTTTAAACTGCAATGCATTCTGGGTGAATGACATATGCTAGGTCCTGTAGTGCTAGCTCCATCCAATTTTTTTTTAAACCATATTGTTCTAACATTTGTTATATTTTCAAAACTTAACCTAATATGAAATATACAGACTTCAGTCTTAACCATCCATCCATCCATCCATTTTCTGTACCCGTTTATTCCATTTTGGGTCACGGGGGTCGCACGTGCCCATGTCCAGCAATCACTGTACGAGGGGTTGGGTACACCCTGGACAGGCCTCCAGTCCATCACAGGGACACATAGAGACAAACGAGACAAACAACCATTCACTCTCTCATTCACACCTAGGGACAATTTAAAGTTACCAATCAGCCTAACATGCATGTTGTTCTTCGAGGTCCGAGGCTTCAGCGATGTCTTCTTCTTGTTCAATCTGAAGCAAGCAGTCTGATTTCGGTCTGCCACACTGAGTCTGTCCCTCCTCAGAGGCAGGCAGACTGAGCGGGGCAGATTGGACAAGGCTGGCCGGGGTCGAGTCGCCTGTTTTGGGTTGAGCAAAGAGCAGCGCCCCGCTGAAGCCACGGAGTTCGAATGTCCAACGTAAAACTAACTTTACCGCGGTTTAATGTGGTGCTATGGCTCTGCAGACATTGCACATTGTTGTCTTGTTTTGTGGTGTTTCTAATGTAAAATACTTGCATACAGCGGACATGTTAAGATGAAAAGTTTGTTAGCTGTTAGCCACAGTGCTGCTAACTCAGCCCTCACGTTGTAGCTGGCTGCAAACTATGAAATGGATTTCCTGAATGTGAGGCGGGTCTTATTACTCTGGGTTCATGAGACACGCCTCCATTCAGGAAATCCATTCCATGGTTTGAAGCCAACATGCATCATGGATCGGAAATCTCTGCAGGTTGGATCGGAAAAATCCGATACATAAATTATATCTGGTATCGGTATCCGATACAGATACCGGATCGGCCCCATCCCTAGAGTGGGTTGAATCATGCTGTCCTCTGCGACATGATAGCGGTCTCCAGTTAGATAAAGGGAGCTGCCTAAATAGCTAGCTGTACTGTGGCCAACAAGGCCAAATTCTATGGTGGCTGAGCGAACACGTAATGCGATATGCAGTATGCGCTGAAGTAGGAGCAGAAAAAAAACTTAAAACACAATTTTTTTATCGATTTATGGGCCTTTAGAATCGATTCAGAATCGCCAGGACTAGGACTCTAGATTATTATTTTTTCCCGCCTTGTCAGCATTGTGGCACTCAGAATTATTGTCTGAGTGTCAAGGTGATGCCCAACAGATTTACTTTCACAAGCAGAGCATTATGGCTGGCCTTAATGCACAGCTTGAAATATAAATAAAACTTTATTAGAATTTCCAAAAAAGTTCAGTCTGGTCCTCTGGACATTCAAAAAACAAAACAAAGAAAAGAAAATGTAGAAACGTTTCGTCTTCCATCCCAAAGACTTCCTCAGTCTGAGGTGCTGTATTCAGCTCAGTCTTATAAATAGCACCTTCTCAGAGTGGATCAACTAGTTTTGCTGCTGACAACCAAAACCAGCTGCTCACATGCTCAAGAAGAACCATCAGCCTAACAATTGATAATTAGCACCTGATGGCTGTTTACTATTCACAGGGGGCTGAGTGATACTAGCAATCACAGCATTGTAAGAGGCACAACGTGCCTAGATCAGACCACACTTCAGCAAGTGCTGGACTGTACAGATCAGGCACTCTTAGCACAGCATGTCAAGTCCAAGACTCAACAACAAAACAAGTTTAACGTACTAATAACTCATCAACACCATTACAATTACAATCACAACACATTCAGTGTAAGACAACACCCCAGTAGACAATTACATTCCAGGGAGACAGAAAAGTGGGTGAAGAATTTATCTGACAGACAGCTCACCCAGCCGGAGACAGAGATTCTTGCCAGGGGACTGAACTTTGCGGTTGCACCAAGTAGAATTCCTCTAGTGGAGATGATCATAGCCACAGAGGTGGTCAGTTTAAGATTAAAATCAGACACCACTCTGAGCAGCAGGACCACACGATCCACAGAGCAACTGTGTCAACTCTTGAAACTGTGCCTGCAGTCAACCTACTTCACATATGGGGGCCAATATTATAGGCAGAAACATAGGTGTGCTATGGGGTCTCCAGTTTCTCTTGTTGTGGCTAACCTGTGCATGGAGGAGGTAGAAAAGAGAGCCATGACATCCTTTTCAGGGACACCACCAAGTCATTGGTTCAGGTATGTTGATGACACCTGGGTTAAAATTAAATCTCATGAAGTCCAACATTTCACTGACCACATCAACTCTGTGGATAAATACATCAAGTTCACACAAGAAGATGTAAAAAATGGCTGGGTGGCTTTCTTGGACTTTGAGGTCTTAGTTTCTGATAGAGGACATTTGCAAACTGAGGTGTACCACAAACCCACCCACACAGACCAGTATTTAGAGTTTGACTCCCATCACCCTTTGGAGCACAAATTAGGAGTCAACAGGACTTTGTACCACAGAATAGACAGCGTTCCCACTAACTCAAGAGCCAGGCAGAAGGAGAAATCCCACACAAGATAGGCTCTAGAGCTATGTGGATATCCTAACTGGGCCTTCCTGAAAGCAGAGAAAAAACCCAAACAGAACTCCAGCCTTCCATCAAGTGAAAAGGAGGAACCCAGACCAGTGGTCATTCCATATGTTGTGAGAGTATCAGAGAAACTGAGACGTTTATTTTCTAAACATAACGTCCCAGTGGCTTTTAAACCCAAAAATACATTACGGCAAAGACTGGTTCATCCCAAAGATCCAGTCCCCCGGCACAAACAAGAGTAATGTTGTGTATGCTGTTCAGTGTCAGGAGGGTGATCAGTCTTACATCAGAGTCAGAGTCAGAGTCAGAGTTTCTTTATTGTCATTCGCACCTCATGTGGTACATGTGGTGGAGCGAAATTATGTACACAGGGTCCCAGTTACATCCAACAATAAAATGTATAAGAAAAACAGTAATAACATCTAAGATATGAACTAAGAAAAACATCAACTAAATATACACTAAGCACTCATAACATAAAACATTGAACATCAGCACAAACATGAACATGAGTCTGTGAGCAGATGTGCACGCATGAACACATCAACATTGAAACAGATCAGCAGCAACATGAAACAGATCAGCAGCAACATGATATGGTTTTTCACAGTGATTATTCTAGTTAGAGATTCATGAGTCTAACAGCCTCAGGGTAGAAGCTGTTCCTCAGTCTAGTGGTTCTACATTTAATGCTCCTTAACCTCCTTCCTGAGGGGAGTGGGGCAAAAAGTGTGTGTGCTGGGTGAGTGGGGTCCTTCATGATGCAGGTGGCCCTCTTCCTGCATCTGGAGGTGTAGATGTCTGTGATGGTGGGGAGGCTGATTCCAACAGACTTCTGTGCAGCCTTCACCACTCTCTGCAAAGCTTTTCTTTCTGCAGCTGTGCAGCCTCCATGCCACACATTGATGCTGGAGCACAGGATGCTCTCCACTGCACACCTGTAGAAGGAGGTGAGGACTAAGCTTCCCAGGGGAAACTAAACAGCCACTGGCCAAAAAGATGGCCCAGCACAGAAGATCAACATCATCAGGCCAGGACTCTGCGGTCTACACTCATCTCCAGGCCAGCGGTCACTCTTTCAGGGATGAAGATGTTCACATACTGTATAGAGAGGAACGATGGTTTGAGAGAGGAGTAAAGGAGGTCATCTTTGTGAAAAGAAACTGTCCATCATTAAACAGGGGTGGAGGCCTCCATGTTCAACTGTCCCTCTCTTACAATGCTGTTATTGCTAGTATCACTCAGCCCCCTGTGAATAGCAAACAGCCATCAGTGTGCTAATGATCCATCATTAGGCTGATGGTCCTTCTTGATTATATGAGCAGCTGGTTTTGGCTATCAGCAACAGGCCGGTTGATCCACTGAGAGAGGGTGCTATTTATAAGACTGAGCTGAATACAGCACCTCAGACTGAGGAAGTCTTTTGGATGAAAGACGAAACGTTTCTAGATTTTTTTTTTTTTTTTATGTCCAGAGGACCGGATTTAACTTTTTGGGATTTTTTTACCTGGATTATTGAGCATGCATCAGGATATTTCTTTCTATAATTTATTTATTAGTTTATTTATTACAAACCTTTACTTAACCAGGTAAATCCAATTGAGATCACAGATCTCTTTTGCAATCTCCTCCCTGGACTGCCACCTTACCGTGGTGGAGGGGTTTGATTGTCCCAATGATTCTAGGAGCTATTCTATCAGGGGCTTAATGCGCCTAGTAGGGTCACCCAAGGCAGACAGGTCCTAGGTGAGGGACCAGACAAAGTGTAGCCCAAATACCCCTATGAAGATTAAAATTTATGGAACCAATGTTCCCTCGCCCGGACGTGGGT